GGAATTATATATATATATATTAATATGTAAAATAATAATAATAAAATATATTATATTTTGATTGATTTTGACATGGTTTAAGTTTCAATGAATTTCACACCCCTATTAAGGGTGCAATTAGCACCCCTTTATTAAGGGGGTTGTTATTTACACTCTCACCTATTAATAACATTAAATGATTTGAAATTTTGAATTTTTCTCTCTCGTATGTCTCCCTCTCGTTTTCTCTCTATCTCTCTCTCTCAATCTATATTAGTTATAATTTTTATTTGTATTATATATTAATCAAATTTAAAACCAATAAATTAGAATGACAATAGCTGTGTTATTTATAAAAAATAATATATCACTTATTTTATTATTTTACAAATTTTAACCATATGTATATAGTCATATAGTTTGTCCTTATAAAATTCGAATAAAAACTTTAAAAATTCATATGCAAATTCTTAATTTTTATTTTATCTATATTTTAATATAATATATCATTAATCTTTCTGCAACTTTAAAAATTCAGAAAATAATCCATTATTTTTTTCCGACTTTAATAAGTAAAAAGTAACTAATCAATTCTTATTTAAGTTTTGAATATTCAAATACTAATTTCACCAGTTTTTAACAATCTCTAAAAATTCAGATAATAATTCGTCTTTTTTTATTAAAAATTCAAATATTAAATTAGTTTAAATTGTATTATGTTTTTTTTTTTTTTAAACAATATTGTTATACTAAAAATATATAGAACATAAATTTTGAAAACATAAGCTTAGAGGTGGTTGGAAGAAAAAAAAATTGACTTCTTGAAAATATCTTTGGCAGAAGGACACCCGATGCCTTCTATCGTGCCAAATTGGTTTCGTTACAAATATGATTACGCGACCGCATGGGCTACTCCGTAAATGACCCGAATAAATAAGTACGAGCAAATGTTATCTAGTAATCATACTACGGAATTTATTTCATTTGATTGAGTTGTAATATTTTCAGACTTTTTGTACTCTATTTGTTGATTTATCAATTAACTTATTTTGATAATCTTTTTTGTATTAAATTATTTTATCTTTGTAGTTTTAAATATTTATTTAAAAAAAATACCTATATAAATTATTAATTAATTAAAATGTTAACAATACAATTATAAAAMYWAAAAWWAWTTTATAGCTATTTGAATTAATTTAAAAATAGTTAGTTGGCAAAAATTTATTATAAAACATAAATTTAGAAAATTAAAATTAGAAAACAATAATTTATAAAATATGAATTTTTGAAAAAAGATTAATGTAATTAATTGACTTTGACCTAAAATATAGGAGGGGGTACACTGTACCTATAGGGAGGGGTGCATATATCCTCACCCATTTATTAAATGTCTTAAATTAGTAGCTAATAATAAATGTCATAGATATGTTAAATTTCTTAATGATTAAGTTGAATAATTATAGAAGAAAAAGAGAAGGGTATAAATGAGATGGGGCTTGGTAGGGTTTATGTTTGCCAAAATTCTATAAGACATTTAACATGCACCCCATTAAATTATGGTTAAATTCAGCACTCATAAGCTTTTTCATTAAGACATTTTAACATGTATTAAGAAAGAGTCCCACATGCCAACCTTTCATATACCCATGATTTTTGTATTTTAAAACATGCAATAAATAAGTCTTGATTTATTATTCATTTTTAATAAACATTTAATTGTATTTGTAAAAAACCAAATACTATTCATATGTGATTCATAAGTAACATTTGTTGCCTCTGTAGTTTTGAATTTATATGATTTGCAAAAATGTCTGGATTTAGTCCTTCATTCCAACGATCGTTTTAAAATTCTGTTAAATAAAGGGCATTTTTATCTGATTATCAATTTTTTTGTCTTTTACCCAATCATAAACTACATGAATAAAAATTTTAAAATCGGGTTTGATTGAGTAAAAAACAAATAATCGATAGAAGAAAGAAATTGTCATTCATTTAAGAATAACTTTTAATGACCGTTAAAATAAGGGACCAAATTAGGACGTTTTTGTAAACTACGATGACTATCTTATAATTTCTAAACTATATGAACGAAAAGTGTGATTTCAACAAACTACATAGACCAAATTTATAGTTTATTCTTAACATTTTTTTAATAAGATTGAGCACCAAACCTATGGGTTAGGTTAAGTTTTTTTACATTTGAAACATCACAGCAAAACGCTGTGAAAGTAACAAAAAGCCGAACATCCACAACAAAACACTTCGAATGTTACCTTCACAGCTTTCGGCGGTGAAGGTTACTTTCATGGCGTTTTGCTATGATAAAAACATGTAGTGGTCACCTTTTTTCAATTATGATATATGTTGTTTTATCATCGACATGATAATCATAAGCATATAAATATTTGATTCGTTCAACCATATAAATATATTTATTTACTGGTTAATTAATATACTAATGTCTTAATTTGTAAGCCATAAGCTATTATCATGGAATTTAAATTACGTACACGTTTTAAACGTATACCCCTTTTCGTAATTATGAACTAAAATTGATAAAAAAAAAATTATTATAAAAAATGACGACAGATAAATAAACAGTTTGATATAAAAAGTTCTGTAACAATTGGAATGTGGTATGTTGTTATGATTTGTATAGAATATCGGATCATTGCATACGTCTACTGATAAATTAATAATAACACCTATTAAAAACACAAATGTAACATAATAAAATATGATACTTGTTTTTATATCTCTTTAATTTGTGAGATTTCTGATAACCACTGCTATTTTATATGATTTTTTTTTCCATATCTGGCTAAAATTTAATGTTGTGGTTAATATGTATCTATTTTATAATGTGTTTGTTTGACATGATGTTTACAATGTGAAACTTCTTGGCCTGTTTGAGAAACAAAAAGTACATTTAATTTTTTTTTAACGTTGTTAACCAAATATATATGAAACAAACATTTTGTGAAGCAAATATATGTTAATTAATACATAAAAAAATTATACCATCTAAAAAAAAGTAGGACATAAATGAGATGGGGTATGTTTGCCAAATTGAGTAAGACATTTTAACATGTATGTAATTAATTCATGAAAAAGCCACTCGTAAATATTTAAATTAAATGGTAATGATGTAATAAATAGTAACTCATTGGGTTAATAAAAATGTGTATCATAATCAACATGTTGATTATAAAGTCAAGTTTAATGCAGATTTCTAAATTCAGGATTATGTACTGCTTTTGACTTTGAGTTTGTGTTTTGACAGAAAAATGGTTTGAATTTGAACGTGAACTCCAACCTAAACCAGATATTATGTGTTTGTGAAAGATTTGAATTCTTTGAAATCTACAACACGATTTTTCAAGGGATATTTGAATTCGGGTTGGGTTTATTTATTTATTTTTCGAAAATCTTAAATCAAGTCGGTTGTATAATTTTCTAATTTCTAAACCTATGATCGATTTCTAAATCAAGTATGTCGTGTGTGTATATATATATATATATATATATATATAGGGTATATTTCTTTTACAACCTTATGCATTTGTACAACCTTTGCAACTCAATTAATTGAGATATTTATAGAAATGATTGGAGTTCATTTATTATGATTTGAATATTTATAGAATATGAATAGAGTTTATTAATTATGATTAATACTTTATATTAGGAAACAATTAATTGATCAAAAATTGAATGGTTGAGATGAGGGTTGTATAGGGTGTAGGAATGGCAAATGGTGTAGAATAACATCCATATATATATATATATATATATATATATATATGTGTGTGTGTGTGTGTATAAATTATATATGATTTTGTACCTGAATATGTGTATGTGAATCATCCATGATTTTGTATATTAACAACTTTTTTCTTGTTTTCTTAAATAGTTAGTGTTCTCGTTTAAACTTGTCCATATATATACACATATATACATACATACATACATACATATATATATATATATATATATATATAGGGATGTTATTCTACACTCTTTGTCATTCCTACACCCTATACAACCCTCATCTCAACCATTCAATTTTTAATTAATTAATTGTTTCCTAATATAAAGTATTAATCGTAATTAATAAACACTATTCATATTCCATAAATATTCAAATCATAATAAATGAACTCCAATCATTTCTATAAATATCTCAAATTAATTGGGTTGCAAAGGTTGTACAAATGCACAAGGTTGTAAAAGAAATATACCCTATATATATATGTGTGTATATATTGCATATAACTAATCCTCTACCAGAAACCGACCAACCTCAACCCGAACCTAAAACAATATAAAATTCAAAACACAAAATTATGGGTTTGGTTTCCATAACCAAAGTCCAATCGAATTTCAGTTTATTGATGTGAAGCCGCTCGACCAGTTTGATGCACACATCTACCGATGATGCCGCATACCACATTATGAGCATATATTAAGTGTATCTTAGCCTCGTTTTTTATCCTTTTAAAGTTGGTTGCATGCATTACATAGTGAATGAATTGAGATGGTTACAAGTTGCCAACACTCCCTAAATAAAACCATATTTAAAGTACTACTTACGTCTTAGACATGATCAAACCAAATTTAAACCATCACGTCTTAAACATGATCAAACCAATTCTAAACTCTTACGTCTTAGAAATGATAAAAACCAAGTCTAAACTATTTCGTCTTAAAACCGACATGAGAATCAATGCCAATACAGTCGGGCTATCAAACACGGGGTCATAAGTGAATTACGAGTCAGAACCTTTCCCAACTCTATAATTTTTTACACTATGACAAAAGAATGAAATGGTGGCATATGCTATGCTCTATATGGGTCTTTCACCGCCCACATCATCAAAAATTCAAGAATCGAAGCAACAGATTGGGGAGACAATGTCCTTTCATTTAAATTTTTGGCAAGAAATATATCGTTAACATTTAACAAAATGCTTTTTTACGTATTAATTACGTTATTAAAATATTCTTTCTAGCTCTATGCATCTCGATACCACCTTGCAAACTCTTAACAGATTGGTAATTTTTTTTCAAATGGAACTCAAATAACGTGCAACTCGACTCGTTAATACCCCTACATGGAAGTAAGGCAAAATGGCGCAATCATAACAAGAAGGACAAGCATTGTGCACATAAACATAAAGTAGAAGGGTAAAAGTACTGATCTCCTTCACAAAATTGTTTGGAAGTCTTTGTAGCAACACCAAAGGCATACAATATTAAGAGAAAAACTAGAAAATTAGGATTTGAGATCATAACAATATCAAGTCTTGAACTCATGACATTATGTGAATATAAGCTTACTCGTCCTCCTGGCTGCGCAACCTTGCTAATTTGTTGGTCACAACAACGTCCAATTGTGCTGCACGTTCGACTATCTCCTTCCTTTTGCGGGTAGATACATTGTGTGCAATCTCAGCACAGTATGTCCTGAAAACGAATCATTTTTAAAAAAACAATTATTGAACAACACGTTGAAATTGGGTGTTCGTAGAAACAGTCGCTCTACTATTTGGCGTAGAAAACAGGTGTGCGTACATCCCAACTCGCTTAACCGACTTTTGAGTGGGATGTATTGGAATAGAGATTGTTTGGTAGGTTTTCCATTAAGCTCTGCAAAGATAAAGTTGTCTATATGAAATAATCTGTGTATTAGATAGGGAAGGTTTTTTGTTTGGAAGGCTCTTTATAATAGATGAAAGGACTGTTTTTTAATTGAAAGCGGCAGGTTTGAAAAAAACTTGACTCTCTACATAAAGCTCCCCTAGAAGATTATTGAATAAGCCACTTTCTAATCATTTAGCCACTATCAAACATTCATGTATAGCTGACCAAATAAGTTGTCCACAAAGAAAATATTGGTTTGGTTTGGTTTCTTTGGAGTTGTAGAAAGGTTTATGATTACACAGTTGAAAACGAATATACCTGTTGTGCATCATGAGAACTTCCAACTCCTTGGCGTTGTGAACCACAAACTTCTTGAAACCATTTGGGAGATAGTGACGGGTCTTCTTGTCTGAGCCGTATCCAATGTTGGGCATAAGAGTTACACCTTTGAACTTTCTCCTCACACGGGAATCGATACCCTTTGGTCTGCGCCAGTTTTCCTGCAATAAAGTACTAAAAAGTCAGCATCCAGGTAATCAAATGCTGCATTCGAGTAATATTCATAGGAAAGCCATTGATCAAATGGAGCTAAATTCATGGCATGATAACAAAGAAAAAGAAAAAAATAGAAGTGATGAGACAAAGGAAACATCGAGAGCAAATCCTATAATACAATATTACTTGTCAACAACCCAACGGTTATGCCATTTGAAAATTTAAGTGACAAGAAAAGGCATAATATTTTTCAAAAACTATTTTTTCGAGTTTACGCTCAAATTGAGCACTAAGATAATGATCATAAGCAGCACCTATCATTTCTCTAGTTCACAAGAACAATTCAAAGGCACACAAAACGCAGAATACAAATCAAAATATACCTTGACACATATCTTCCAGTCACTGTGGGGTCTCTTGAACTTCTTGACCCGCTTCTTGACGATCTTCTTATCAAGCTTAGGAACTGCCATTACTTACCTGAAATCCGATAACAAAAATATTGTCTACCATCAAAATATAATTGAACAGGTAACATTTATTTCAGAGGATAATGCTCATTTGTAAATAAAGTTCTTCGACTAGTAAAATATGCAATTCTTCAGGGCTAAATACAGAGAGAAGGTACACCTGAAAGATGCATCAATGTTCATAAACTTGCTTTAAATTCAACGAAATTTGTTCAATAAATAATTTATATTCCCCAAACAATTAAACCATAACACTTTTCATAAGCTTGTGCAATTAACAACAAGTAAACCATCAGGACAAGCTCTTGTTGCCTCTGATATTTTTCACAAACCAGATGTCATCACAAAAACAATAGCTCTACTCCATGGGATAATGAACAGGTCTACACTGACCTCATTAAAGCTCCTTTCATTTGATTTGGTTTCAATCATCATATAGTCAAAAATAATATTTTAAAGAATCAAAGCATTTCTCGTAGCAGCCAACAAATAGCAATCATCTTCTCAGATTCAAAATATAAAAAACCAGCAGTTCCCATTAGGCCATAACTAATATTACTAAAATGGTCGGTTCTACAATAGAGGTTTAAGACTGCGAACATTGATGTGCCATATTGGACTTAGATTCAAGTTATCGTCACTAGCTTCCTCACCCGTGTGTTAGGGGAAAAAACCCTAAAACAGTTCAAGTATATTTCAATCTAGAATTTCAACAGGGTAACATTATCCATGAAAAACAAACACAGCCCAATTATTGCCAAATAAAAACAAATGAATTCAAGTTAGAACAAATTAACAGTGGAGTAAACTGCAAAAACGATCGACATATTCCAAAAACCAGAAAACGTAACGTTTAAGCACAAAATCATAACCCTAACTCCGAACTGGTGGTTGTACTAGATCAACAAACAACAATTAGAATGAAGACGAGATGAAAAGGGAGGAAATGAACCTGCAAATTGAGACGATAAGAGGCGGCGTTAGAAAACCTCCCTGCCGTGAAGAGCCGCGAGAAGAAAGGCAGCAACTATAGGGTTTACATATATGATTCCACCTGGGAGAAGGGTTCGCACTTTCGCTCTATATGTGATGGGCCGAGATATTGAGTTCGGCCCAACTTTATAATTCAAAACCCGACCCATCTACCAAAGTAGCAGTTTTTTGAATTTATCCTTTTTGTAAGATCTTTTTTGATTTTCAATAAATCTGGTTTCAATTTTAACCGTTTCTAATGCTAAGATTATTACACGATAATCTAGAGTTAGGTCAAGCCACACTAGGGGTTGTTCGATAGTTGCTGAATGGTTTGGTGCAAAATGATTAAGTGATTAGAATATAGTGCAAAATGAAATATAATTGTTTACTATAAAATTAGGGCGCTGAATGGTTAAGGGAGGCTCGGAGGATTTTAGAACCATTAAGAGGCAGACTTGGTTTTTGTCAAACAAGATTCACCTCTTAATGATTCAGATGTTGTCTCTTAATGGAACTACTAAGAGGTAAACAAACAACCCCTGAGATATTTGGGCATTTAGGTTGCATTTGGTACATGGACATGAGATGATGGTACAAAATTCATTGTCTCATGTTTGGAGCGACATATGATTAAACAACAACTCGTTGTTTTATATTTGGCACGATATGAGACAGGGAGAAGATGGGACAAAAAAAATCTGTTTTCACCATAAGAAGTTGAACAAGATGGGGTAAAATGAAATGAAAACTAAACTATTATTAATCTACCATTGTTTGATAGTTAACGTGTGTATTTGTTTAAATAGTCGTAGCTGATGCCACCATCAGCGGGATCCGATAGCCATCGTCAACTATTGTCGGACGCCTCCACCTCTACCTATTACTCCAGTACAACAACCTGTTCCACCGTATCCACAATCATTGACCATCATCGTCGCCGACTACCTCCATTATAACCACAAGCACCACTACTATCACTGCCTCCACTACGTCAGCCACAATTACCTTCTCTACCAGCGTTGGATGCCAACACCACCATTATCCAAACATCTTCACGTCTTCCACAATCATCGTCGTCCACTAACCACCACTTCCTCTACATCCACAACCACCGTCGTCCAACAAGCAATACCGCTCATTGCCACCACGATTTGCACCTATCATAACCACCACGACTATTAGCTACCACTACCACCTACCTCCACTATCGTCGGCCGCTGCCACCATTTTCATGTCCTCTACGACCATTGTCAACCACCACTGCCTTTACATCCACTGTAACAACCCGTCCCACATCGGTTGGTGAGGAGAACTAAACACTCCTTATAAGGGTGTGGATACCTCAACCTAGTATGACGCGTTTGCCTTGTGGTATAGCGGGCAAAGTAAAACCTTGAGCCTTGTGGTATAGCGGGCAAAGAGGACAATATCTTGGGACAGGTGCGCTTCTTCCTTCCGCTGGGCCACTCTGTATTCAATGACGCGTTTGCCTTGTGGTATAGCGGGCAAAGAGGACAATATCTTGGGACAGGTGCGCTTCTTCCTTCCGCTGGGCCACTCTGTATTCAATGGCGCGTTTTGGGGCTTGCGTTGTGCGGCTGCCAGAAACAAAACCGTGCGGCTACTGCTTTGTGGTTTAGCGGGCAGGTTAGTCAAAGCGGACAATATCATTGCTACGGGGTTCTGGGGGCGTTACATCCACAAACACTGATGTTGCAACAACTTTCATATCTCCCTATCCATAAGGATTTTCCAAACCAAATAAATAATTTTCATTCAAATTTAGTGCTAATGCTATTGTATAAGTATGTATTTATGTACATGAGAATCGTTTAAAATGTTTATAAATTAAATTATTTAAATATTACCTTATTTGTATCATTTATAATTATTATATATAATATATCAAACACTAGATAGACAATTGTTCTGTCTAACCCCACCTGATGGTTCCGTCCTATTATGTATGCGTATGATCATACACTATATTGAGAATTCTCATCAAAGGTCACATATTCAAGTACTACAACGTCATTGGGATATTACTTGCTAATTTTTAAACGATGAAAAAAAAACATATTTTTCATATAAAACTAATTAATGTTTTAAATTTTTTGAATCAAATAATTATTTATTTTTAATTTGTGTATAACGAGTGTGGAATTTGAAGTAAAAAAGGCATTCATAAAATATTTCGGTACTTATTATGTCCCCTAAAATCATGAACACTACCTTTATTATAAAACCGTGAATTATTTGTTTAGCATGTCACGTCAACATCTATAAACTCTTGTATTTTTATAAATTTCATTTTACAGTTTCATAAATAGGTTGTATGTAACTTTTTACTTTTAAAATACAAGATGAGAGATATTCACCCATAGATCAATTGTAATTGAATGTCAAAACTAATAAGATGCATCAAATCAATTCTCTTATAAATCACAATTCATGGGTGAACATGACATTAAAAGTAACGATCAATAATTTTATATATGTTCTTACGCTTCTCATCGTAACTTTATTTCTCACATGATCATTAACCTTTGAATTTATACTTAAAAGTATAAATTGTTACAGAATATAAATAAAACACAGTGATTAAAACTAAAATAAAAATTATTTTGTTTTTAACAAAGGGTTATTGTTTTTCAATATTACGGTTTTCGAATCATGGTTTCTTTCGATAGAAGACTTAAAGTGATGTATTTCATAAATTTTCACATGTATATCATGGACTATTATTAGAGACCTTTACGTACTGTTTATCAACCATTTTTTAGTGTCATCATGGTATCGTCATCGTGACATCACATGATCCTTTTGGGTATTATATAATGTTGAGTAAATTACGAATTTGTCCACGTTGTTTGTTAATAATTTTGATTTTTGTTTATGTGGTTTATAATTACGATTTTAATTTTTATGGTTTGTAATCCATTCTTGTTTCCGTCTTTTAACTAATTTCTATCTACAAGTACAAGTTACCAAAATTGTAAAGAATTGTAAACCACAGAGATTAAAACAACAATAAGTTGTAAATCATAAGAACGAAAAGAGCAATGAGTTACAAATCACCAGAACAAAAACCACAGTAGAACAAGAAGACAAAAACAACAACAAAAGCAACAACCACAGGGACACTGCGTTCATGCTCCCCCCGGAAACACTCTGTGCTCTAAGCTAGATATTATATCAGGGATAACAACGTGATGGAGTAACACATTGAGAGGTAATATAAGGAGCCTAAAACTTTTAAAAAGGGAAGTGGATGCAGGTATTTGAGTTGTTAGAGAAAGGGCAACTAGAAGCCCGGTAGCAAAGTATTGATCAGTTTGAATGCAAGCTGCAGCAGATAAGTCCTAAAAAATAATATAAATTGGTTTAGAGACAAAGGAATGTGTTTTTCGGTGGTTCTGTCAGGTGCTATATAATAATTATATGTACTATATCCTTATTATATAGCCTTACCACTAACCCAGATTGCGTTATTTAACACATATCGTACTACGTGAACCTCTCTCAATAAAGACCGCAGAAAAAAAGGGGAACATAATCGTTAAGAAATCAGATTCCATAATCTATTTCTGAATCATAAGAATGAAAATCATACTTTATAACAAACCACAGGGACGAAAAACATAATTTACTCCATAATGTTAGAGAATCTATAACAGTTTAAAAATTAGGCATTAATTATATTATTAAAATATTTAATAAAATATTATTTTTTTCTACTAAACATTTGATTTCAGTGTCTTTTAATTATGAGAAATAATTACATATTGTTTTTATCTCTTAAATATGGAGTTTTGGAGAGTTTCACCATGTCTATCTTTTTTGAAGTATATAATATTTATATACGGCAAATGCAAGAAATAAACTTACACATTCTTCTCATATTTGATAAGGTTTGAACCCCTGATTTATATGAGGCCAAAGACCCATTTTCTCTATTTTAGCATATATTAGTATAGATGTTAAAGCAAAAATATTTTTTCTAAAAGACATTATTTATTCATTCGACGTTCAAAAAACATTATATACTGATAAAAATATATAAATAATAACAGTATAATATGCATTTGGTTTATTTTAATAAACATGCAATATACAAATATTAGTAAAAATGTATTACCTGAGAACTGAATAATCCGAAATCATTTAATCCGAATCTCATTCGATTCGAATGAGTTTATTTGATTTCGGTTATTTTTGACACCCAACATGATCCTTGATTTTTTTAATACATTTTTAGTTCCAAACACATATTAATCAATAAAATTATTAATAAATTTGTAAGAAAACCTATACATTTATAACTAGGGGTGTAAACGAGTCGAGTTGAATAGTAGATTAATTGAGCCAATTCAAAAAAAAAAAAAAATACTAGGCTTAAGCTCGAGTTTGATTTTTTTTTTTTTTGAGTTATCGAGCTTGAGCTCGATGCTCGTTTATAGGTTCGAACTCGCGATTGATTAACCCGTTTATCAACTTGAGCTTGATAATGTTTATATTTTTATTGTATGATTGATAAATAAATGAGCATGTTTGACTTGAAAAAGGATATGCTCGAATGACTCAACTCGACTCGAAAACTGGAATCGAGTATTTGAACGAGCCGAGTCGAACATTAGTGTTATAAAGTTCGGTTTGTTAAGTTAAACGAGTTCTATTTTTTGTTAGAGATTGAGAATTACTAAGCTCGAGCTCGAGATAAACGAGCTCGAGTAGCTCGTTAAAAACTCGAATCGTTGACACCCCTATTTATAACGGTTCTTTATAAATCTTGAAAACAGATAATTAAATCCGGATCAATCGACGGGAGTGCATTCATTAAATTGACAAGTGAAAGATTTATCATCTCTATGGGATTAAATCCCGAGTTATTGTGAAATAAAAAAATAGCCATTTTCAATTCATTTCTTAGTCATTTTTTTCCTAATATTTTTCATTTTTTTTCCTAATATTTCAAAAATATCACTAGGTCCGTAAATGATACCTTCTCAAATTTTCGAGGGTCAAAATGTAAAAAAGAAGTTTCTTAACCAGATCCACAACTGCAAGGGCCAATTCTGCAAATTAATCCCAACATTTCGGCAAGTGACGGAGGTAGGGGTGTAAATAAGCCGAGTTGAATCGAGTAGTAGGTTATTCGAGCCGAATTTGAAAAATATACGAAGGTCGAGCTTAAATAACTTTTTCAATTTAAGGCTCGAGATCGAGTATTTTTTTTGAAATTTCAAATTGAGCTTGAACTCATGATCGACTAACTCGTTAATTTATAGGCTTGAGGATGATAATTTTTATATTTTTATTGTATGATTTATGAATACATGAACATGTTTGGCTCGAAAAAACACTTGCTCGAATGACTCGACTCGACTCGAAAAGTTTAACCAAGTTTTAGAACGAGTCGAGTTGAACATTAGTGTTGTGAAGCTCGACTTGTTGAGTTAAACGAGTTCTACTTTGTGTTCGAGATCAACTCGAGCTCGAGAATTATCAAGTATTGTAGATCTAGTGATATTTTTGAAATTTGTAAGAGAAAAACAATAAGCGATAAATTCAAAATCTGAAAATGGTTGTTTTATTAATTTTCTTAAAATATTAAATTAAATTACAAAAATAATGAAGTGATATAACGGAACGTAGTTAAATTGTCACGATCAGAATAACTTTGTTCCTCGATCGTCCTTTTCATTTGGCATCATTGATTCATTGCCCCAACGTTTCATGTACGATGAAAAGGTCAACTTTTCCATGTTTAAAAAAGGGGATATTTTATAATTGTAATTTAATTATAAAATATATTATGTGTGACGAAATTTATTTTTAATAGTTATATTAATATATCAATAAAACTATTTTTAGTTTTTAGTGTTTTTAAAATATCTTCAAAAATTGTTTAGCAGTTGCTGGATGATTTGGTGTAAAATGATTAAAAGACTTTCATGATATAATGCAAAATGAAATATAATTGTTTGGTAGTTATTTACAATTAAATTAGGGCGCTGAATGGTTAAAAGAGACACAAAATCACTCAGAGTGTTTTAGAACTATTTTGAAACATATTTTATTTTTGAAACAAGATTCACCTCTTAATGATTCAAATGTTGTCTCTTAATAGAACTATTAAGAGGTAAACAAACAGTCCTTTAGTTTACATATATTTTAGATGTATAATTATCAGTGCAAGAATTTTATTTTGTTATATGTTGAGTAGGAAAATAGGATATGAGTGCAAATTTAGTAACTAATGAGGCTGTTTGACAGTTGCTGAATGATTTGGTGTAGAATGATCAAGTGACTCTCATGATATAGTGCAAAATGAAATATAATTGTTCGGTAATTGTTTACAATGGAATTAGGGTGTTGAATGGTTAAGGGAGACGTATGATACAAAACCATTCAGAGGATTTTGGAATCATTAAGAAACAAATCTTTTTTTTTTGTCAAACAAAATTCACTTCTTAGCGATTCAGATATTGTCTCTTAATGAAACTATTAAGAGGTAAAGAAAATGAACAAATGTAAATCTATGGCATATTGAGTAAATAAACACTTTTAATATGAAAATCTTCATTTTTTTTTTGTAATTTAGAATAATAAATATTGAAAATATTTTATGACTTTTACGATACGAAAAGTATTGAGTGTGTTGATGTCGCAAGTCCCACCGAAACTAGTTTGAAACATTGCCATTAAAAGCTAATACAAATCGAGAAATACTTCTTTTTTATTCTCCTTTTTTTCATTTTATGGACATTTTTTTATTAAAAATGGATATATGTTGTTTTATTTGTATTCGAGAAATATCGTTTTATGTTTTTCTTCATCTTGGATTATATAAAAAACAAGGAACGTATTGTTCAATGTTTCTCATCGACAAGTGGAATATGCATAATCAGATATAGCCCGCATGGGAGAAACTTTTGATGTGAATTGGAAAACTGATCAATATCTTTTCAATACAAAAGAAAATACAGATTTGCATATAAAATTACACCAATTCCAAAAATAATTCCGGTTACTTTTATTTTTCATCATCATCAAATCTTATAACAATAATCAAATATAGGATCTAAAAGTTGAAATTTAATAAGAGTATTAAAACTAAAAGTTTTTTTTTTAAACCTATTTTTGTTGATTTTAAAAATACTATAAGTGTATTCCAAAATAACTAGCTTTTGCACCATGGGGTCCATTTTGGTGTTGTGCTTTTCTCTTAAAGCTTACAAGACTCGGCAACAAACTTGCATTTGAAAGGGTATCATTGTTTTCCAAGAAAAAAGAAGGAAAGTTTCAAAGAATTTGTTGAGTTGATGTTCCCAATTGAAATTTCTATAAAGGATTATGATGAGTTTTATGTATTTTAATTACTGAAAATTTGGTATATTTTACATTTTTTTACCTCATATTACATTAAAATTAAGGGTTGTTTGACAGTTACTAAATGGTTTTGTGTAGAATGATTAAAAAGCTCTCATTATAGAGTGCAAAATGAAATATAATTGTTTGGTAGTTGTTTACAATGAAATTAGGGGGTTGAATGGTTAAGGGATGTATAAGATACAAAATCATTCAGAATGTCTTAAAACCATTAAGAGGACAGATTTTTATTTGTCAAACAAGATTTACCTCTTAACAATTCAGTGGTTGTCTCTTAATGAAACTATTAAGAGGTAAACAAACAACCCCTTATTGTTTAACTTAGTGACACGAGGAAATGTTTTGGTCTATTGTATTTCATACATGTAAAAGAAAGATAAATACTGAAAAAAAACATGATGAAGAGTGACGTATGTACCTCGTCATTAAAGTCAGATAATGATCACATAAAAGAAAAGCATAACTAAATCGGTTAATAGATGTATCATCTTTTGACTATACACCCCTTGATTAGCATTGTATTTGAAAACAAATTCACTTTGGTAAATTAAAGTAGTAACAAAAAGCAAACTAAAGAATAATGATGGGACTAAACGTTGGCATGCATGGCTGAATGGGATTGGGTCTAATAAAGACATGTAAAAGTGAAAGTCACTTTCATAATAGATGCAATAAGACATCTTAATGAGAATTTAAAATTACAAATTTACCCTTGCAAATCCACCACTCATCAAAGTGGCCCATATCAATCAAAGTGTTGTACCACATGTTTCATGAATGCTAAGAACAATATAATGAATAAGCTAATGAAAGGAGTGCTGGACCAAGCCTACACCTCATTCTTTTTTGTGTAGGTTGAATTGTAGTGTGCGACACTCAAAAAGGTTTTGGATTCGTACGTTAGTTAAATACAAACTAAAGAGTGCTCAAAAATCCGATCAATCCGACTCGATGAATTCAATATCTTTTTATTTATTGGATTTAACATGATTTGTGAATTTATATTAATATATACATTAGACAGTTACATCATCACGTAGCCTCTCATATTTCTATAAACAACATTTTTTAGAAATGACACAAAGGAGTTTCACATATCCTAATATTATATCAGAGCCGAAATCGTAAACCTTTTTGTTTCTATATGACATGCACCAAAAGTTACATCACCATTACGTATGCGCCAAAGAACGGTGCGGATGATGTAAACGGAAGGCGTGTGCACCAAAAGTACTCGACACGGGTCGTGATCTTGAAACCCCGTTTCATATAATTGCATAATACAACAATAAAATACAACCAAATTGTAAAGTAAAATAATATACCATGTAGCATAAATTACAAGAATCTAAGGCAAAAGAACAAGATAAAACCATATATGCCACTGAAAGCAAACATCAAGACCATTGAAGAAGCTCAAACTATGGTGCCAATGGTTGTTGCTTGTTGTCATATGGTTTAGTGGACTTACCTCCACACTTCTTCTTCAAGACCACAATCCATGTAATGACTTCTAACAACAAAGCAATGACACCCAATGCAGATATCACGATTACGTACGTCGATCTCCATTTGCTTTCGGGTGATAATATATCGAGACCCTTGAACACGTTGAGGATGCCAAGAACAAGAATGGCATACCCGACACCGTGGTGGTAGATGTTCCAATAGAATCGGAGTTTGTGCTTTTTGTTTGGTCTCAAGAACAATGCGAAAATCTGAAGGAAACACCAGAAAGAAAAGTAGATTAGGAAAAAAGACTGTAGTTACTAGAAGACAGATCTGTGTACATCCAAGTCCTGATATAACTGGTTCTGTTTGGTTTATTGTGAGTAGTAAAAGTAGGCCCATGTACCTATCTCTTTTGATGTCAAATGGGATTTGTATTTATAATAGTTGAGATTCAATTTCAATGCATAAATTGCAATCCTTCCATTTTCATGAATGATGAAAACAGAAGACATAAATATTGGCTTTTTGAGGTCAAACTAATTTTCTTGCCGAAAATTTCGTATAAAATTCGTACGCAACTGAAAACAGATCGATAGCGACATCGAGACTACATAGTACACGCAACGAGTAGAAACTTTTTCGGTGCTAAAATCGCGGTAAAATCCATGTGAATGATTAACTTCAAGATCAAGAAAATTGACTTTAAAAGTCAACATGATCATAAGCCGATCATCCAAAATACATAGGATTTGCAGGACTTTGTGGTAAATTACCTGGATTGTTGCAAGACAAAAAAGAGTGATCCCGATATTCCGATGGCCGTTGTACGTGACACCCTTTGATTCGACACCGAGTTTGAGTCCGGTTCCCCAACCCGCAACACCTATCGTGTAAGCCGAGACTTGGCAAAATGCGTGAACGTAAAACCATGTTGGATCTGCCGACGGGAAAGTTCGAAGGTATCTAGCAACAATTACTCCCACCGGAAATAGAATTCCCCAACTCACCGCATTCAGTATCCCATGAATCTAAAACAAATACGAGTCGTAATTCAGTTGATCAGTTAAGAGACGGACCCAATTCAAAGCACACGGTGGCCTGTGCCACCCTATCGTTCCTCCGTCGTAGTGTAAAATTTACAAGGTCATGAAAAATATCACTGTATTAATTTATTGTGTATTACCGTATATATTTTAAAACTACAACGAGGACATAAGTTTCCCTATATTTGTCTCTCATAGTCATGAAAGTGCCATGTATCTTAGTTTTTTATTTTTAATTTAAAATTTATTATTATTCTGAAAAAATATTTGTAATAAAAGATTTAAACACATAACCTAATATAAGATTAGTAACCAATACATCAATGTTGATTTTATAAAAAATATTTTTTAAGATAAAACGATTTTTTGATAAAATTTCTGATACGTGCCGGAATTTCAAGAAAATCTATGTAAATTTCAAGAAAATCAGAAAAGTGGTTATGAAAATGGCAATTCAATTGCTTACATTTCTCTTTTTAGTTCTGGAATCACCACCGGTATTCTGTCCACTTAACAAATCCAACCTCCCTTTCGCCGCCAAATTCGCCGCCTGAAAACCATGTTTCGCCGGAAACCCACCTCCCGTCACCGACGATCCCACCTGCCAAACCTGATTCACCGTCGTCATCCCCTTTTCCGGCAACTCAATCGTCGTAAAAATCCTCATCAACCCACCGGAAAACTCCGCTCTCTTATCCTTCACATCAAACGCCAACTTCCCTTCCACAATCGAACTATACGAGCTTATATTGTACGTCTTCACAACCATCGATCCATTAGATGCTTTAAAAGCGAGTAACGCTTGTGCTCCGGCCATCCCTTCGCCGGAGGGGTTTATGGCCCATGAGATCCAGCCGGCGTCCGTCGCCGGAGGTGCTAGAAAGGCGATGGAAAGGGTGTTTTCTGAAGGGTCGAGTGACCAATGGAGGTAGGAATTGAGGGTAGGTAAGTCATTACAATGATCATAGAGTTTGTTGTTGGTGAATTTCTGTGTGGTGCAGGTGAGTTGGGCTTCGGAAAAGTGTGGTGTTAAGAGGGCGAAGAAGGTGATGAAGAAGAAGAAGAAGGACGCCATTGATGGAGAGAAGTGAAGCATGTGGTATGTATGCATATGTGAATATATGTAGTGAGAGTCTTTGACTTCACGCCATCATGCATTTAAAAACTAGATTATTAAGGAAACAACCGACAAAATCGTATTTCTTTTTAAAATTACAATTTTAAGTTGGGTAATTGACTAAAATACTCTATTCCTTTAATTAAATTTACTTTTTTAATTATTTTATCAATTAAATTTCTGTTTTAATGAAAGTTTATGTAAATACTTCAAATTTTAGATTAACTTTTTCCCCATAATTTGCAGAGATTTTTTTTTAATCTAAAAATATTTACATAAACAAGGGCTAAAATAAATAGGAAATTGCATGCAAAAGTAATGTATTTTTATTTGATTCATATTTTGAGTAACGTATTTTTTAAAATTTTCATTTTGGTACCTAAGATGTAAAGTTTTAAACATTTAAGTACACGGGTAATTGGTTGAAGCATTAACCGGTTATCATATTGATGTGTCCGTGATATGATATTCAACTTAATATTATTTGCTGACGTGGTTAATGATATAGATTTTTTTAATCTAAAATTAGTCTTTTTTTTAATCTAAAATTGATTTTTATTTCGGGTAATTAAATGTTTAAAATTTTATCTAAATAGAATAATAAAGTTTAATAAAGTTTTTGGGTTGGTATATGTTTTGTTTTTATTTTTACAGACTTGGTAGATTTTTATAAATGACAGTTATAATTATAAATATAATAAACTAGTTTATCTGTCTTTTTGAACATAAGAAATGAGCATGAACATCCTATCCTCATAAGTCATACCTACCTTTCTAATAAGACATATCTCAGTATAATTGGTTTGGTTTAAAAAAATAGAATCATAAAGTCTTTTGAGAGTATACTCTACATCTCTCGTTTTTATCATGGTTCTCTTTTTGTTCGTTTTACTTGTATAAAATGTCTCTTATATATATATATATATATATATATATATGTATAAACGTATATTCAGTTTGATTCAGTTAAAAATAAATCAAAGTTCAGACGAATACAGGACAACTCCTAACATAACGTAAATTAGTTAAATTTAGTAACAGATAATAACTTGCTACCCTATTCCTTTATTCTACCATTCATAACCACAATTGATCTAATAAAGTGTTTCAAACTTTTTTTATATAAATTTTCAAATCCATAAATGAAATTGGATTTTAAAACATTAATCAAACCTCACAGCCTTTAACCTGTAGCTCAGTTTGTACTTGGGGTGAGATGACTTTGTCAAAATACAAAACATGTCTTAGATTCGATCTTGGGTCTTCTTGCTAGCCTTAACCGCTAAGTGAACCAAAAAATTGCCTCTCACGTTAGTGTCCTTGGCAACAAGTTCCGTATAAAGATTGATTAAAGTTGTCGCTAATCAACTTTTTATCGAAATTAATCAAGATTATTAATCAAGGTTTGGGCCATTAATCGAACTCTTTTGGGCCTCAAGAGATCAGCCCAATCTTTGTCGAAATCAAGTGGCCCATTAAATTTAAAGGGTGAGGGTGACATCTATTGTTAACAAATTAATTATCATCATGCAAAATAACCCAAGTTTTATAAGAAATAATTATATGGTTGTTTTTTGATACTATTTTCGACTCTTAACTAAATAAAAAACACGAAAACGACTGAATCACATATGATTCATGCGACTTTGGTCGCGAATAACCATTCACCCTCATTTTGACACTGTTCCATAATCGCATGTAAAATCACAAGTGATTTGACCGTTTTCTTGTTTTACATTCTCGCTTGATCCTTCGTCTCTACCAACTAAAAATGTAATGGTTGGTTAACAAATTTATGCTTATATTGTTGGACATTAATAAAATTTAAAACACAATAATTCCATAAAAAACAAGTGCGTGTGAATCAAACACAGTCATCAAAGAAAAAGATTGAGGCGGCCACCGACAGGGGCAATCACGTAGGGGTTTTATACTTTACACATTCGAACTATGAAATTACTTTACAAAACTACTAAAATGACCAAAATACCCTACATGAGACCATTTAACAGTCGCCACTGACGATCGCCTGGGACAAGAACAATCCACATAAGCAGATTAAAAAGAATAAGACTATGCGTATTCCTAAATTGAAATGACAAGTTTTGCTAAATCCTTGGCCGATTTATGTAATTTATGTGTACCCAAATTGTTACTTAACAAGTGCTTATCTATAAGATTTACATTACTTACCTTATTAGGTAATATTTTTACTCTATCGAAACGATATTGTATGCAACAATTTACTCGATAAATGTTAACCGAGTAAGAGTCGTGACCTAAGACTTTTGGTCCTTGTTATCAATTTTACTGTAAAATTGCCATTCCTATGTTCATCTGATAAGATGATATGACTTGGTAAAAACACTTTTATTGTAAAATTATAATTCATATGTCCATCTTATAAGATAATATGATTTGGTAAATGCAAATACAAAATAACGCATTGGTAATGAAGAAAAATTAATTAAGAGGGTGTTAGGGATTGCTTATTTGAAACATTTTATAACAAAAATACTTATCAACTTATTATAAGTATAATATCCGTGTTTCGTTAACTCGTACAAATTGGGTTAAGARAATTTTGGTAGAATTATGCATGATATATTTGTACCCTATGCTTAACCAATTTGTACCCTAGACTAGTTTTACGTCAAAATGTGTTTATATCTATATTGACGTAAAATTGGGAATTTAACTTGAATGGTAAAAACCGTCAAATAGTTAAACTTTATATATATATATATATGTATATATATATATATATATATATATATATATATATGAGGCGGTTGTAAATTAAAATAAAAATAAAAAAAATATATATATATATGTATGTATGTATAGAGCGGTGATTTCACCGTCTCTCTCAATTCTCTCTCTCAATTCTCTCTCTAAAACTGTTGTCTTCTCTCTAGATTTTATGTCAAGTTAGTAAGGGGATCGAGACAACAATTATATATTCGGAATCCACTCCCCGAACCCTTTCTTAAAGATATAAGTTTTATTCAGTTTCATTAAGGTGTTTATTTTATGATTATTTAAACCGGTTTATAAACTGTGTTTATATCTAATTTTACGGATTGATATTGTCATATTTATGATATATTTGATGTTTAGAATGCTAGAACTGGTTATATTGATGTAGAAATGAAAAGGGTATATTATAGTTTCAATATGGTTAGATTGTGGGTAAATRTTTAACCGTACACCAATTGTTCGGTTAAATGTCRAAAGGAGTAAAAATGCATGATTAAGCTTAGGTTAGCGACCATTAGACTTGTTTTACTGTTTAGTATGTTGAAGTATGTTTATAGCATGTAAATGTAGCGAATCATGAAAGTTGGATCATAAAAGTTAGTYGGGAATTACGGAATCGAATTTTACCGACAATGTAACTCCCGTACTTTGGCAGTGTATAACTCACAAACCGTAAGTCAGAATAAGCTCGTATTTTTCAGTCAGAAAGATCATACTGCATACTACAACTTTCATTCAGGGTCAAAATTCCAGTTATGACTCTAAGTGGCTCGAAACARTGTGTTTTCGGGGCTGTTTACACTGTATCCGGGATTAATTTGCAGTTTTGTAAAATTCATATAAAGTAGATGGATGATCCAAATGAGATGATTTCAAAAGCAATAGACTCGTATGATACCAACCTACAACTTTCATTTAGACAGTATAGTCTGGATTGGTCTCTAAGGWAGGTAAAAATGCTTAGAAATAAGAGGGTCGGAAACGGTTAGATCGAAAGAGAATAAGGTTAAGTTTTACGTTTGAGTTTTCAATTAGTATCCAGCTGTCCTTCTTGAAGTCTACGTTGTTTAAGTACGTTAAGACCTAAGTAATTTTAATAGAATAATTATGTTTCGGTTTTTATGCTTTGTAAATAGTAACCAGTTATGCATTCGTTAGGCACRCGGGCAAATCAAACTTGATCGTGAATTTACATTTGATCGTGCGTTAATTGTCAAATTCGGTTAAGGTACGGATTCCATATCTCACTTGACACAGGGATAGCCATTTGCGTGAGGCTTCCTAATCCGGATAATCTGTGATAAATTCCAAATAATTTGTTCTGAATTTTCTTTATGCTTATCAAATGTTATTGAACTTTGTTTCCTTTTGAACTACGACTTATATTCTTATTCAGAATATGGATCATTTTGATCACTTGACTTGTTTTATTGCTTTATTTGTGAAACATTTTACTATAGACTCAATAACTGGAGCACCGGTATTGAGATGTTTCCATGGTGACTAAAACGATCATGGCGTTCTTATTTTTATAGTCCTTAAAAGTGGACTTGATTATGTACCGGTCGAATAGAGGGCGTATGGATCGATCCTAGGAACCGTTATCGGATATTGAATTGTGGTCGTGGTTAAATCCACGGAGAGGATTGTTGTGTTGTGCCACACCCCTTTCCTCACTTGTGCTTGAATGGACTGATCATCCTTTGGGAACAACGCATCTTCGTGATGCAGTTTGGTCTTCGGACCCTTGATATGCTTTTGGGGCATTTTGATTTTCTTTTGGATTATCACTTGACGTTATAAATTGTTTTTGAACTTGTTATCTCATATTCATTGTTTATTTATATTATTATCCGTTCACTGAGCATTAAGCTCAGCCGAGATTTTCTTGTCCTCGGCAGGTACATGACTTAGCAGAGATTTTGGGATGAGAGCTCTGGAGATGATAATATTGAAGATAACCCATTAAGTCATACTTTTGTTAAACTTTTGATGACTAATGTAGACATACTGGTATTTTGAAATCGTATTTTGAGACACGTTATCTCCGTCTATGGTTATGTAATTATCTTTTGGTAAATTTTATTAGCTGCTCTGGTTTATATAGCACGTTGTTTGTTTTATTCCAATTGTGGCATCTCCCGTCTTTGACCACGCGGGACGGGGGTGTTACAATAAGTCAGAAGAGTTTTAACTTTTTTAAAAACTTTTTATTACCGATTTGACACCGATATAAATGGGTGTTTGGGATTGCTTATTTAAAACAACTTATGTTTTTTTTTTTTGTAAAAGTGCTTATTAACTTATGTGGTATCAAATCGGAGTTAAATAAAACATGGTTAAAATTGTAAACTGGTAATAAACAGTTTTTCATAAGTCAAGAAAGATTAACTTATCAAAAACAGCTTATTACCGTTTTGGCACCGGTATAAACAATTTTTTTTCCTTATCCAAACACTAAAAAACAACTTATCATTGATGCTAAATTGAAATAAGTTAAAAAACTGCTTTTACAAAATCCCAAACACCCCCTAAGTTATTCATCCAACACTCAAAATGCTTATTATCGGGTACCCACCGAACTAAGTCTAACAAGAACCCCCCTGGAAAACAGTATTAACCTTTTTATTAAGGAAACCGTAAAAGTTTTGCAGATTTTGTGGCAGCGTAAGGGGCCATTCGTCACGATCACTCCAATCCGCATATGCCTTTCTCTCGATAACATTCCCGAATCTTGTCGAAGTACAGACGCAATTGCAGAGGATCGGTATTATGTTCGTAGCAATTGATGAATTCGTCTCCAGCGAATCAAGTTAGGGTTTCGATGCTGCTTCACTTGTGATTGTTTATGCGAATGGAGGCTCTGCAACAAAGAGTAGAATCATGGATCAGAGACCAAAGAACAAAGCTCTTGAAGGTCACTTGGCCACAACAATGGCCGGTTGCTATGAAATGGCCTTGGATCAAAGGGAGAGAACAGAGGAAACGAATGAACGAAGAGTATCAGCGTCGGAAGAAGCAACTTCACAATCTTTGTATCGCGGTTAAGGCCGATTCTCTTTCGGATTTGCAGGATATTCTTTGCTGTATGGTGCTTTCGGAGTGTGTTTACAAGGTCTGTATGTTATTTTATGTTCTCGTCATTGTTTTGCCTACAGGAGATTGTGATTACTGAGCTATTGAATTTGTTTAAGCGTTTGTGCATTTGGCATGCTTAATTTGAATCATGAAGAGTATGTGTCTATTATGTTCTATTGTCAAATTTAATCGTATGATATGAACAAAAGGAAAAGCAGCAGTGGTGCGTATGGGAAGGGTCTGTTATTCGGATATTTCCTCTTTGTTTGCTTTCCTACGCATTTTGCAAGGCAACGAAACCGGAGGTAAGGTCTGCGTCATGGGGGTATTATGGTGGCTTGGGGGGAGTATTTATGGGCATTGCTTGGCCACGGATGCAAAGAATGTCAAGTAACTCGGGCACTGTGAAAGTTTGGGCCTGGTTCAACTTTGAAAATCTATCTCAGTAGCTGAATTGCTAGGAAAAAAATACAGGTTCATGACTTAAGTACGAAATAATTAGTTCAAATGCATTGACAAATCTTCCCTCCAATATTTAGGACACTCACATTTCATCATCATTGTGAACCTTTCCTTAAAAAGCCAAATATATGAATTGTTTCATGTTCTGTCTATTCCCTTCCCCTCTTGTTGCTTTTGGTTGCAATTGGAATCATTGTGGAATCTCGGATTGATGATAGAGATATTAAGATTATACTTAATAACACTCAACCGTGTCATAATAGAGACCTGATGCTGAAGTGGTTCAAGCTGTGAATAAATTTAAAGCGGACTTTGATGGTCAAGTTGTTTCTTTGGAGCGCATTCAGCCATCTTCAGATCATGTTCCTCACAGGTGGATTATTTTGTAATAAAAGTCTCTAATTGCTGTGATGCCTATTAAATCTTATGTGTGGGACTGTCTGTACAGGTATCTATTAGCAGAAACTGGAGATACATTATTTGCTTCCTTCATTGGAACCAAGCAATACAAGTACGTGGCTAGCAACTTAACATAACATTATGTTGCTCTTATTACTCGTATCTAGGAACAAATTTTTTTTTATTGTGTTGGAATAATTAACAGGGATATGATGGCTGATGCAAATATACTTCAAGGTGCCATATTCCATGATGATGCCATAGAAGATACTGACGAAATATTAACAGTTGAGGGCCAAAAGAAAACTTCAGACGATGCTCCGAAGACCCTTGGAGCAAAGCCTCAGCAAGGAGTAACTTCAACTAAACCTGCTGCTCATAGGGTAAAGTTGCTGCCTCTGTTTCATTTTAGGCATAATTCTTATAACGCAACACAGTCTAGGTGGCTATAATTTTTTCAAATCAATCACCCAGTAGGATGAACTTGCGAGAATGAAGATAACGTTTTAATTGGTTCTACAGGGTTTTATGTCTCGTGCTAAAGGAATACCTGCTTTGGAACTATACAAGCTGGCTCAGAAAAAGAAACGAAAACTTGTTCTCTGCGGACATTCACTTGGTGGAGCAGTAAGTTTGGCTGTCCACCAACTTCGTTAGCGACTTTCTTGGTCTTTGTTTTTTCAAATATTAACATTCATTATTTTCCAGGTTGCTGTTTTATCTACCCTTGCAATCTTGAGGGTGATTGCAGCTGCTTCTTCATCAAAAGAACATGAAAAAGTTCATGTGAAGTGTATCACCTTTTCCCAGCCTCCTGTTGGAAATGCCGCCTTGAGAGAGTAGGTCTTATGCTATATTCAACATGTTTAAGTTTCTCAATGTTATGTCATATAATTACTGACATACATACATATGTTCTTTCAGTTATGTTAGTGAGAAAGGGTGGCAGCAATACTTTAAAACTTACTGCATTCCTGAGGATCTTGTTCCCCGAATATTATCCCCTGCATACTTTCATCACTACAATGCACATCCTTATTCACCTCCGATTGACGCTAAGAAGTCAAGTTTATCAACATCAAAACAAGACATAATATCGGAGAGACAAAAGACAAAAGTTAAGGAGAACGAAAGAGAGCAGTTAGTTTTGGGTTTGGGACCCGTACATAACTCCTTTTGGAGACTTTCCAAGCTTGTTCCTATAGATGCTGTCAGAAGACAACTTAATAAATACACCGGCAATAAATTTGGTTCTTCTGTGAATTCTGCTGCTGATTCCAATGTAACATCTTCAATTGAAGACACAGAAGATGCTCCACAGTCCCTTGAGATTGAAGAAGATTCTGATGGCATTTCTCTCAAACCATTCCCCACGGCGGATAAAGGGGATCCAGGTGAAACAATAAATGGCAACTTGTCTGGAAAAAGTAAATTATCTGACAAACCTAAGGTATGGCACAGAGTGCCTGCCTTACCTTCATATGTCCCATTTGGACAGGTAACTTCTGTACTAACTGCAACAACAATCAAGAAAGCCTTTTCTAATCCCAAGCTATATATTGCTACCTAGTACGTTTCTGAAATATATATTGCTTTATTTTTAGTATGAGCTTCCAAATACAATTGTATTTCTCCATGTACGATTTAAATGAGAGTGCTGTTTTAATCATTTTCCTAACATTTCTGGATTTAGATTTTCATTTTAAATTATTAGCATAACTTGTGTTTTAGCTCTTAAATTTGAGGAATGAACCATGCAATATTTCTTAGTTTGCATTTATGTTCATGATGATGATTGTGTCTCTTCCTTTTTTGTCTCAAGTTCTTGTTTATCGAAGCCTTCTTTTTTCAAATTCTTATAAACTTCTTGGGTAAACTTTTTTATTTCATATACTTTTCGTAAGCCGGGTTATTCACGGAAACAACGGCTCGACTTTTTGGGATAAAGAACAAATCTGCATACATCCCACCCCCTAGACCCTACTCCAAATGGGATATATTGTGCTCGTTTGGTTTGGTCTGGTTTATGATAATATTGTGGCTCTGTGGATAAATTTTGTTAATCACATTCCTTGAAAAAATGATATCACATGATTTTTTTTTATAACTATTTGATCTAATGAAGATCTGTGTCTATTTCTTGTAGCTTTATCTTTTGGGGAATTCATCTGTGGAGTCTCTATCTGGTGCTGAGTACTCAAAGTTGACATCGGTAAGAGTTATATTCTCTTATTTATACTTGATTAACAGTTGCTACTCTGTTAATATCTTTGGTTTCTGTCTCATGTAGAAAATTTCAAATTCTTTGGGTATTAATTTGTGCCAGATATCCTTGAATTTCTCATTTTGTTTGCTTTGTTTTGGCAAAGACATATTCAGGTTAAGTCCGTAATTGCTGAACTGAGGGAACGACTTCAATCACATTCTATGAGATCATATAGGTCCAGATTCCAAAGGTAACATCTCCTTTATAATGAACCCATATCTTTCTACACAATTTTCGTTCGCAGTTACTGTAGCTCATCTTGGGGGAGCAAGACATGTAATCATCTTCTTGTTTTCAAGCAATCCATTCAAAAGAGTACACGTTAAAACCTGGAAGGTACTTGAAGATCTCTTGGATAATTTTAGACATGATTAAATGAAAACTAATAGAACAACTCTCTCTGATCTTTAATAATGGAGGTAATGTAGGATCAGAAAAAAAAAAAAACTAAATATTGCTGGACACCTTTCCTGGTATGATAAAAAATTGCGAAAGTGAGGGGCTGTTTACCAACACAAAATGGGTAAGATAACCGAGTAAGAGTGCGGCCTGTTTAAGCGCTAACCGAGTAAAAGTGTGGTATGGGTAAGTGCCGACAGAAAATGGCTGTTCAGTGTTTGGAAGCGCTGATTGAAGAACAGGTCAGAAAGAAACACACAGCATATTGTGGGTCAGAGTGTGTTGGTAACAACATCCCTTCTTATCTGGTAAGCCCCTGAATCTTTCTTTGGATGGAGGGAGCATATAACTTAGAGAAGAATAAACTTGCTTATTATAACTTAATTGAATCTTCATTTCCAGTTCCATGCGTCTCTAATGACGTGGTTTTGTACTTGGAAGACACCTGTCCAGGAAAATAACCGTGCTCCCCTTGAATATAGCTTCACCAAGATTCCCATTACATTAATAGTCAGTTTGATATACGTGTGCACCGTCTGTTTACCTATTGTAGTTGATTCTTAATAAAATAACATGGAGTTTTGCAGGTAAACATATACTTTACTGGATGATCTTTTATCTGTCATTTATTCTAAATTTAAAAATGACCATGAACTGGGAATTTCTAGTTTCATGTCCGAGAGTGGTTTAATTTGTTTGGAATTGGATTTTGGGCAACATTTTGCATTATTTATTAATTTCTGCAGTCGTTTTTTAGAAAGTTTCACCCTGAATACTTTGGAGCATTCTTTAATAAGTATCTCTTGTTCAAGTCTTCAACATATGAGCTTTATGGGTTTGATTGTTCCTTCATTTCTTTTAGGATTTACAATGATTGCATGAGAGATAGCTCTTCATCCTTCTTGGGAATGGATCAACAACAGCAATTTCCCCAGTTACAAAAATGGCTTGGTATTTCACTTGCTAATACCGTCGAGCTTGGACATATTGTGGAGTCTCCTATTATATGCACAGCTACTTCTGTTGTTCCGCTTGGATGGAATGGCGTTCCTGGTGAAAAGAACGTCGAGCGTATTAAAGTAGATATTACTGGTATTGGTTTGCATCTATGTACCCTAGTTCAAGCCAGAGTTAATGGCAACTGGTACTGTTCTTTTCCCTTCCTTAATGCACATTTCTTGCATGCATTGTTCATAGGGGGAGATGAACGATATTGATCCATATGCATTTAAAATCTTGGCAAAGGTCATAGGCATGGGTGTTTTGATTTGAAACTAAGGGTTTGTTTGTTAGCAGCTTAATGGGATTCACATCTTATTCAGTCAGCTATACATGATTGTTTGGTAGTGGCTTAATGATATAGAGAGCGGCTTATTAAGCTTTTAGAAAGGGGGGGGGGGKGGTTTTATGCAGAAAGCCAAAAAAATTTCAAATCCTGCACCTCCCAATAAAAAACCCGCTCCTTCCATCAATGAAAAAAACCCTCCCAAACAAAAACCTTCCCGATCTCTACAGACAGATTAATCCACACAAACAACTTCATACATACAGGATTTAATGGAAAACCAACCCAACAGCCCCCAAGGCCTAAGCAACTATCTGCGGTCCAAAATTATTTGAAATATCATGGAATAGAAAGCAAAGGGGATTTGATTTCACTCATAAAGTATTTAAGCTTTAACCCATACCCTTCTAGAAGGAAATCAATCCCGCACTAGCATCTTGTACTCATTCTCCTCAGAGTCGGGATGTGCCCTCATCTAGCTAAGTTGTATCATATACTTCCTTGTTTTGGTATTAGGGTCCCCATTTGACGTTGCACGAGATTTAGGGGGCATTTACTAAATACTTACCTTGGTAAGCGCTTAGAGCTTCAATTGTCTTACCGGGTAAACATAACAAGGATTGAGAATCTTACCCAGTAAGAGGGAAAGCGAGGATCAAGAGTCTTACCTGGTAAGCAAGGGTGATGACTCCTACCCGGTAAGTGTTTATCAGGTTATAAACTCTTACCATTAATCCATTTTGATGGCCGAGAATGTTACCCCATAAGGTAAGTGAGTGGCGACTCTTGCCAATAAGCGCTTATCTGGTAAGCGTTTGGTAAACGCCCCTTAATCATTATCAAAAGTGCATGGAAATAATGTGACAGTATTTACTTCCCACTCGTACCCTTCTAATGGTGCCACATTAACAACAAAAAGATAGTGGTGCCCAAATTATAAAAGACCATGAGTGGGAAATGTGAATTTGATAGCATGAAACCTACTTTGGGCTCCTATTAGTTAACAGAAGTTAGTAACAAAATCCTATTCAATTACTTGGACATTTTATTGGAGACCACATTGTGCTTAGTTTTATTCAAAGAGGAGCATTATAGTTGGGGTAGCTAAAAATGATACAATGAGGGAGTAGTGTAATCTATTATTGGAAACACAAAATTTAAATTAGGAGCTTCTTTTGAACTTCACAATTTGGTTCTCTTTTATTATTTCTTTTGAACAGGTGCTCAACAACAGTTGAAGCCTTCCCTTCTGGGGCGACTAACCATTTGGATCATGGAGTCGAGTCAGACATACAAAAGATACGAGTTTTAGTCGGGAGACCTTTAAGGCGACCTCCAAAGCATCAAATAACCACAGATTCATTAATCTCAGCATTTCCTTCTATTGATCTAAACCCTGTTGATCAAAGTAGGTCACAGAATCTCCAAGCATTCAATTTGGGGAAATTTATATGCCCTGAAGGTCTTAGCGATTTTTTTATATTTTGTACAACCGATTTTTCTACCATCTCAAAAGAGGTTCATGTTCGGACCCGTAGGGTCCGATTGGTCGGCCTTGAGGTATTTATTTACAAAATTCTATGCTCATCTTTTGAATGTGTTCTGTTCTCTCCCCATGATTTTCTGTAACAAGGCGCTGGGTTATGCAGGGTGCTGGCAAAACGTCTCTATTAAAGGCAATCCTAGATGAAGGGAGGGTAAACGTTTCGACCAATGTCGAGAATTTTCCTATGGATGTCGATGTTCAAGAAGGCACTGCAGGCGGTCTATGCTTTACAGACTCGGCAGGAGTAAATTTGCAGGTCCTTATATTTTAATAAAGGTCTCTTTATTAATACATGCATCTCTGTTCACTAGGGGTGTGTTTGGTATGCGGGAGGACATGACGATACAAAAACTTGTTATCCCATGTTTGGTGCGACATTAGACTAGGACAGGACATGATCTGAGTGGGACAAACATGCATTTTCTCTATCGCACCAAAACAGGTGGAACAAAAATCAGGAAGATGGGACAAGATTAGTAAATTACTAAATATCCATGTCAAATTAAAACCCTAAAACCTTCCACAATTCTTTCACCCACCTACCTTACTTTTGCTCGCCCAGTCCCATCACGTACCAAATGCACCTTGGGTGCAACAGAGCTTCACATGACGTTCGAGTGCTCTTGTATATCTTTTATGTTTCTTGATCTGTTATGGTATATCTGATGCAGGATCTAAATAAGGAAGCCGCTCGCTTTAAAGACGAACTATGGATGGGGGTTCGTGATCTTGGTACAAAAACCGATTTAATTGTTTTAGTGCATAATTTGTCACACAAAATACCATGGTATACGCAGTCAAACGCATCAACTCGCCAACCGGCCCTCTCGTTTTTGCTGGATGAGGCTAAAGCACTTGGAATCCCTTGGGTCCTTGCTATAACTAATAAATTTTCCGTGAGTGCTCACCAGCAAAAGCCGGCAGTGGAAGCTGTTCTTCAGGCATATCAAGCAACTCCAAGCACAACCGAAGTTATTAATTCATGCCCGTATGTAATGCCTAGTGCTGCAAATATTTTTGCTTCTGTGGGTGAAGGGAGTACAGATAATGATGCGAGTACGGGTCCTCATAAACTGATTGCAGCTCCCATTAATTTGCTTAGAAGATCCTTCCAAAAGAAAAGCACCATTCTTCCTGTGGAGGGTGTAGGTGCTCTTTGTCAACTTGTTCACCGTGTTCTTCGCAATCACGAGGAAGTAGCTTTGCAGGTAAATTTTACAACTTTTACTGTCTTAATTATTCCATCCATCCCAAATTAAGTGTCCATATTTCTACTTTAGGGCTGTTTGATTTTTTGTCATTAAGTTCTGAATCTATTAAGCTGTCGCTAAGCATTAATCTTTCCGGATAAATTAAGATAACTTATTGTTTGATTTTTGTCCCGAATAAAAAAAATTACCATCTTAACCTTATGTTTGCTAAATACTTTAAATGACAATGAATTAAAATAATATGAATTATTTAAAATAACATAAATAATATAAATTCAACGAGCTTATAACTTAATGCTTAATAGCTTAAAATATATAATAAAACAATAAAGTATTATTGTTTGATTGAAAATTTCAATTAATGCATGTGGTAAAAACTATTTATTTTTTAATGAGACATGTGATTAAAAATTGTAGGACAAGGAAATTTTAGAAAAATCCAACTTAATACATTAAGATAGGATGGGAAACAAACACCCCCTTAGTTTGTCCCAAATAAATGTCTACTTTTAAAAAGTCAGTGCATACTTTCCGCTCTACTTAATTGTAAGACGGAGTAATTCTTTACTCCATCTATTATCAAGAGTAAAGTTGTCGTGTAGTTAGGGCCCGTTTACGAAACGCGTATCGAGTAAGTGCTTACTAGCAAGAGTTAGTGCCCTCATTTACCTTATCAGGTGGCATTCTCGGTCATCAAAATGGAGTCACCGCCCTCACTTACCGGGTAACATAGAAACCGTGCTGAGGGTAAAATAGATGGCTAAGCGACTAGCGATATGTAGCCCTCACCATGAAAAATGTATTGCCTAAACCTGGCTGCTGTCTTGCTATCCCTCTCTCACGCACATACACAATAACTAGTGTGCCTTCTTTGTTATCAGTAGTCAGCATGCTCATTTAATAGGAACTATTCTTTGGTTGCAAAACCTTTTTACAAGCCAGGGGTATTCTACTCCTTGGGGTAGAGGTAAGGTCTCTGTACATCGTACCCTCCCCAGACCCTACTCCCTGTGGATTCACTGGGTTTGTTTGGTTTGGTTCGGTTCATCTCAACTCACATAAAAAAAATGGAACCCGCCAATCATGATTTCATTTTTTTGTACTTATAAATGGAATGGAAATGTAAAATGACAAACAAATAGAGGGACTTTTCTTTATCTTTCTTTTATTATTAATTTGCGGGTGTTGGGGAAGAGGTATGTTTGAAACTGAAGGCATTGTTTGTGTTTGTTTTCGGAAGGAACTTGCAAAGGACAGACTTATGGTGGAATTAGCAAAAGAGAGAGAATCGGCAGTCGATGCAAGCCAAGATGCGATGGCGAAGGCGAACTCCATGACAGCTGCAGCGGTGGGTGCTTCGGTTGGGGCTGGGGTTGGTCTTGTTATGGCCATTGTTATGGGTGCAGCTTCTGCATTGAGGAAGCCTTGACATATGGCTTTCTCATAAAATGAAGATATTGTCTTGGTAGATTTTGGGTTCTAGTGATGGATGTTAATTTGTAGATTGTATTGCTGTAGGATTTAGAGGTGACATCCATTTGTTTATTTGATTGCTAGTCCATAATTATGTCAAAACTGGAAAAACTTTATAGCAAAGACGATTCTTTCTCCATCTAATCTACAGGTCATCTTTGTGAAAAATGAGGGCCTAAACGGCCATCGTGGTGCATTTGGTATGCCGTATTCGGGACAAAGTTGGGTAAAAACAAATCTCACGTTTGGTGAGACATTTAGACTGGGACAGGATAAGATTAAAGGGCCGTTTGGTGAGACGCTTAAATGAGAGTAAAGGGCCATCTACTAAACACTTAACGAGATGTGATCATGGCAACGACCAAAAATCTTACTTGATAAGAGGCATAGAAAAGACCGAGAATGATACCCGGTAAGTGGGCAATAAGATTCCTTTCGGTTAAAACTTAAAAATATTTACCAACGATTCATTTTGATGGTTGAGAATATAACTCGATAAGATAAATGAGGGTAGTGTTTCTTGCCGTTAAGCGTTTGGTGAACCACCCCTAAATGGGACAAAAGTGCCAAAATAGGCAGAATATAAATCATGAAAATGGGACATGATTGATTAGTTAGTATACTACCCACGCTAAATTAGAACTATAAAATCTTGCATAATTCTTTCAGTTGTCTATCTCACTTTTATCCGTCCAACCCCATCCTGTTCACCATCCAATCTACCGTCACGGTAATGCTTTTCGATTCCTTGTTTGCTTCTTGTATGTCAAATGAAAATGAATGTTGTAATGCTACAAAAAAACATGAGATGAAAGAAACACGTGTTTATATGATTTGGAAACGCAAAGAGTACACCATTTGGTACCTTAAAAACAGCCAAAAGAAGGAAAAAATTAACAAGCTTCGCTCATTGGTGCAAAAAACTAACTTGACTCAACGCGAACAACATGAACTACGGTTTGTAGAGCCGTTGATAAGGCTAACACGGTTAGAAGACAATTCAGCCTTGTAGGAATCAGAGTTTAGAACCTTCCTTTTATAATTGTCGTAAATAGCACGAATGACAATCTGAAAAGCCGTTTTGACATTTGTGGAATCAAGTGCGGATGTCTCGATGAAAAAAAGCCCTTCCTCTTCTGCAAGTCGTTTACCCTCTTCAACGCTCACGTCCCTAATATTCTCCAAATCACTCTTGTTCCCTACCAGCATTCTTGCCGTTGTTGTATCGCAATGAGCTGCAAGAATTCCAATTTTAATACCCCCCCTAAACAAATTCTCCAAAATGAAGATTTTTGCTCCAACAAATTCCCAGAACCTTCTCCAAAATCGAGAAAGTGGGAGAGACAGAGGGTGAAATTCTCCAAATTTGGAGAACTCTTTAAAAATGATTACCAAATGAAAGAGAAATTATATTTTATTTTTCGTACCAATGAGAATCTTAGAAATTAAATATATATGAGAGAGAAATAATATTCCATGAAAGGTATTGAATGTTTTTAATAATATAATTAATATTTTAATCTACAAAATGGAGAACTGTTGAAGTTGAAGATGAATATAAATTTTCTTTAAAGATTTTGACTTTTAATTCTCCATTTTAAAGAATCTGTTTGAGATGCTCCCAAAGGAAGTCAGTAAATCCCACACAAAGAACTACTTCCAAGTCTTGGATCTCTTTTCTCAATTAAAAAGGGTCATGGAAAGAACAGTTTCAAAATCACAATCAATTCAACGATTTGGGAAGGGTACAATGTACATTGACCGTATCTTTGCTCTAGCTAGAGCAGAGATGATGTTTCCGTTAAGACCCCAAATGCGTAAAAAGTGTTGGTAAATAGGAATTTGTGAGAGTATATGGACATTTACAAACTACAAAATTACAAGCTTCATAAACTATTGGTTGGTTTTCTAGTCCTCTAAGGATAAAATTGTCCTTGTATAGATCGAGAAGATTTCTGTTTTGGGGTTTTTTGGTGGATGGAAGGAGCATGTTTGGAAAAATCTAAGTTTTCTATGTAAAGCTCCTCCAACGCTTATTGAATAAGCCACCTTCTATACCATTAAGCCACTACCAACCAAACAATCATATACAGTTGATTGAATAAGCTGTGACTCTCGTTAAGCTAGTTAAGTGCTAACAAACAGACCCTAAGACTAATCTGGCTATGGAGTTGTGCTCTTTTGTAGATGAAGAAGATTTCCATTGAATCTCTTAGTGAACAGTTCAATTTTTTTAAGTGAATTTCATTTCATCCAAATAGCATCAATTTATCGGCAAATAATTCACGAAAAATCATAGCATAAGATATTAACAAAACCCTAAATAACAATATATAATGAACGCGAAGAACAATTCATCTGAATCTGAAAACAACTATCGGCGCCGATCAAATTAACCAAAAACCGATCAAATTAACCAAAAACCGAACAAATTAACAACAGAAATGAATGAAAACTTACTATTGAGTTCATCAAGCCACCGCTTAATACTGTCAAAAGTAGTACGACGACTGATGTCATAAACAATGAGTGCACCGACGGCGCCGCGGTAGTAGGCGGAGGTGACGGCACGAAACCGCTCTTGACCGGCGGTATCCCAAACTTGTGCTTTAACCTCCTTGCCTTCGATATCGACCACCTGTGTCTGAAATTCGACACCAATTGTGGCCTTGGAGTGCAGATCAAACTCGTCTCTAGCGAACCGAGACAAGAGATTAGATTTGCCGACGGCAGAGTCACCGATAACCACAATTTTGAAAAGGTACTCTTCTCCTCCTACTCCTTCATCCATTTTTTTTCTGGTGTGAATTCGAGAGAGAGAGTGGAGTTATGACAATGGCGTTGACGATGGTGGAAATTTATAGTTGGGGCCGGGGGAGTGAAGTTAGCATAGAAGAACGCGTGCGCGTGATTTACGGATTTTCTGAAAAATAAAATTTTGGTGCTTTTTCATGTTTTAATCAACTTCAACTCCTCCACGTGGTTAATGGGTTTAAATGAATGGAAATTAATAGAAATAATTAGAGTAAATTACCATTTTGATCCCTGTGGTTTACATGAATTTCTGAAAATGGTCTCTAGACTTTATAATTACAATTATCGTCCTTACTGTTTATATTTTGTTTTAGAAATCATCCCTGATCACTAATTCTGTTAAATTTGTCTGGGAACAATTTCAAACCTGACTTACTCCGCATCATCATCTCTAGCGACCTGGCCTGCCTCAGTCACCATCTGCAACGTCTTGACCTGCTCCGGTCGAAACCAAGATGTTTTCCTGTCATCTTTTGCAACCTAAATCAAAACCCAACTATAATCAAACTTGAAATGCAAATCCAAACCCAAATATGAAACCAGTCAAAATCAAACCTAAATCACACCTCCATATGTTGATGAGGTTGCTTAACCACTTGCCATACCTCCTATTTATGTCTATTGGTTTCATCTATAAGTACCACATCAGTTGCAGTAATGCAAAACACACAAACTCTAACCAAAATCATTGTGTATGGAGAGAGGAGATGAAACACACACATACACACACACACAACCTACCTGAAATCTCTGTGTGTAAGCTATGTATAACCTTTGTGTGTAACCTAGAATCTCTGTGTATAACCTATTGTCGTTGCGATGGGGTTGGGTAACCTGGAAGGTTGATGGATATGTGTGTATGTATATGTATATAATATGATTAAATTACAACTTTGGTCCCTGGAGTTTATAATAATATTAATTTCTTAAAACAAAATAAAGAAAATAGATAAAAATACTAAAATGCCTTTGGTTTAATGGATAATTTTAATGGAGTTAGTGGTTAGGGACCATTTTCAAAGCAAAATATAAATAGTGGGATGATAACTGTAGTTATTGAAATCTAGGGACCACTTTCATAGATTTATGTGAACCACAAGGACCAAAATTGTAGTTTACTCGAAATAATTATTTTCGCACTTTAGTTTCATCTATTAGCTATTTATTTTATCATATTTTAAAAATATCACTATTTGTAAGTGGCAACACTTAGAGAGACGTTATAATAGGGGTACTCAAAAACCCGACTAACCCAACTCAACCCAACATGAAATAATCCAACCCGAAGCAACCCGATGTCTAATCGAGTTGTAAATTTGTCAAACCGTAGGTATTGGGTTACTATTATTTGAATCCAACCCAACCCGATGAATCCGATATCATTTTATTTCTTGGATTTAATATGATTGTTGAATTTTTATTAATATATACATTAGACAAATTGCATTATGATGTATGCTTTTCATATACACATATTTTCAATCTATTCATATCTCTATATAACTCATTCATATATATCTTCAGTAACTATGAACATATATATGTAAATTGAGAAAATTAACTGAACGTGATATACGTAATAAATATGGATAAGTTGTATCAAATGGTTGATGATGAAAAAGAAATTATGAGTAGATAAATAACATATTCAAGGTTAGAAAAATATTTTAATATACCAAAGTATCAACCCGACCAACCCCTACAGGTTAGGTTGGGTTGGGTTGGGTTGGGTTGCACTTTGATTTGGGTTGGGTTGGGTTAAGATTTTTCCAAACCGCAAGCATTAGGTTGAGTTGTTCAAATTTTTTCAACCCGATCAACTCAACCCATTTGCACCCCTAGGTCATAATGTAAGAAAAAGAAGTTTATGAATCAAGTCCGTAAGTGCAAAGACGAAATCTATAAATTAGATAGGGCCGCAAGTGGCATGTTTGCGGAAGTATTTTGACTAATTTACAGATTTAATCTTCGTACTTGCGGACCTGGTTCAAAAACTCTTTTTGTTACAGTTTGCTCCTTCCATAAGTTGAGTTGTTACCATTTGTGGAGATAGTCACACCTTTGAAATATTGAGAGAAAAATGACTAATAGATGAAATCAAAGCCTAAAAAAACTATTTTAGATAATTTCTTTAAAATAAACCATTTTTTTAACTTTTTATAAATAATTATATATGATATTAAAATTTATATTGTTAAATAAAATTTAATTTTTGAAATGTTTTAAAACTTTCGATTAAAATAAATTCAAGAAATCTGTTGTATAATGTTTTGTTTTTGTATGTATATATAGGATTCTAATCATTTGTAAATATCATAATGTTGGGTCATGTATTGATTTGGTGATGACTCAATGATCTGTTCCTCTACCTTAACAACACTTAGTAGTTATTGGTTCTTTGTATTTGAAGTCTTGGTACATACTTAAGCCATTGGCAAAATCGAAGACTAGCCGATGTGAAGACAGAAGGTCACCGATGCGGTGTTTTGGATCAACTGTCTAATATACACATCAAGACTTTTGAGTAGCTGAATTGAAGATTGAAAATATTTTGAAGCTACAAGCCGATTGAAGGAAGATCTTCATGGACCGAAGATTGAAGATCTTCATGGACCGAAAATTTGTGAGTAGCTGTTTGAAGCTACTAATCCATCCAAAGAAGATCTTCATGCAGACTGACAATATCTCTACAAAAGTTTGTCTCTTCATGAACAGTGTTGTATGCACGCTATGTACGATGAAAATGAAATATCAACAATGGTCAAGTCAACCCCTGCCTTCTTATCCTCATGTGACAAGTGTCCCCATGCATTTAATGTTGAAGGTAATATAAAAGGCAATATGCATCTCCCATGCACACCACTGGCTTTTTGAAAGATTACTTAGTGCATTCTTAAGGCAATCGACTATTATCTTCTACTCCCTTGCTCTCCTGTGTGCGAAGAAAAGCTTAGTGTTCTTCATTTTCTTTCAAGAACTCTTTGTGTTGTTCTTGTAAGTTATTCTCCTTGTAAGATTGTTTAGGTTAGGTTTTCCTTTCCTATCTTCTGCAACAATCTTTTGTATCTCTGTGTGTTAATTCTTGATATACATCAATAAGAATTTAAAAAGTTAAAAAAAATCTGTGTAATTGTATTCAACCCCCCCTTCTACAATTACTTTCTGTTTATTGTCATCCCCTTCGGGACTAACACATAATTTATAGGAACTAATCTTAACTGTTCATTTAGGTTAATAAAAATTTGTATCCATAAATATTTCGATTATTTAACGATCTAAAACATTGATAATGATTAATGAATTATAATCATCTATACTATATTATACAACATTTGACAAAAACTCTTAAAAACAATTTTTTATGCATGAAGTATTGTTTATTATTGCATATTACTTAAAATTCAATATTACAAAAAAAATTGTGCGTAAGTACAATCTATTAAAGCTTTATTTTTGAATTCGTGTAACTAACTGCAGATAAACATAATTAAATACAAGATAAAAATCTCATTTTAACTATAAAAAAATATAATTAGGATAATCATTAAGTTTTAACAAAATTCTTAATTATCATCCTTATAAAAATTATATTATTAAACAAAAATAAATTACTTTGTTATTGAATCTAAATTAAATTATAATAAGAAAATGAATTAAGAGAAATTATACAAAAACTGAGAACTTTTAAATAGTTAATTTAATATTAATATTGATACATTTTTTTTCAAATTTATATTTCGTTCAAAAATAAAAATATTATCGTTTTTTAAAAACCACGTAAAAACCCTATAATCTCAATAGAGAAAATGAGTAACATTAAAATCGAGATATATCTCGCTGGATTACGCGAGTACCCTTCTAATCTTTTATAAATATCTCGATTATAATAAATGAATCTTCATTACTTTTAATAAATATCTCAATTGATTAATTTATATGGTTGTATATATTAAGAGGGTTGCATATGATTAAACTCTATAGAAACATATTTGAGATTACTAGAAAAGTACTCGCGCAATGTAGCGAGATACATCTTGATTTTTAATATTTTATATTATATTTTAGTTCTATCGATGTTATAGTATGGTTTTAAGAAAACGAAAATATTTTTGTTTTTTAATGAAATATAAATTTGAAGATATTATAATTTTTTTTAAAATAAACGATATTAATATCAAATTAACTATTTAAAATTTCTCATTTTTGTATA